CAGGCGCCCGCCACAACGCCGGCCATTTTTTGGTTGCAGCCATCATTGTTGTTTGGCAGGCCCGGGCTGGGGATTCGAACCCGCCACCTCAGGTGTATGTGGCTGGCGCCTTAGCCGCCTGAGCCACAGGCGCCGAGCCTGCAATCTGTCACTCTTTAGGTGACTGCAACAACATGATTTAACGGACTTGGAATCACAAGTCCTGAGTACTTGTCAACATTACCCACGTTCTTACACGGTGTGGCCTTGGATAAGTAAGTCGTTTCATCTCTTTAGAGCTGAGATGACCAAATGGAAAACTGGCGAGGATTTTCAGTTAAACCTCTTGCAGATCTCCGAGAGATCTTTTCAAGCTCCACACAGTCTGCGCCATGTCCTCTTGGGTGCAGGCACATCATGTGGATTGCCCTGCGCCAGCCCTGGCCCTTCCTTCCCTGTCGGTTCTCTCCTGAGGCTCTCACTCAGGATCAGGGTTTAGTGTTCTTCACCTACCAACCACCCCGAATGTCAATCTCCACGTCAGACCGCTCCCTTCCACCCCAGACCCACATGTTCATCACCTACCTGCTCTCTCCAGGGAGGTACCCAAGAGGCCCCTCAACTTCCTGTGTCCAAAATCAAACTCACAGTTTTTTGAGGGCTGCCAGCACCTCACCAGCTACTCAGGCAAAAAAACTAGTGCCATGCTCGACTCTTCTCACATTCCATATCACAACCGTTTGCCTTAATTTTTTTTAGCTCTGTCTTCAAAATGTATCTATTTTAAATAAACATCTTTAAACACAATAGATTTCAAAAGTTTCTCCCTCCCTCCCTCCGTGGCAGCCTCCTTGATATCTGCCTTCATCAGCGCTCACCTGTATCATTTCAGTAAACCCTGAAGTGCTCTCCCATTGCTTCTGTGCCTGTTCACTCCCACACGGCCTCAGGGTTGCACACAGCCTGACTTACCTCTGTTCACAACTATCCAGTGGTTTCCCATCTCACTCAAGTAAAAAGGAAAATCCTTTCCATGACCTGTCAAGGCCTGCATTGCCTGTGGCCACCCCAGGGACTCTCTGGCCCCGTTCCTTGCCCCCACCGCTCATAGCTACTCTGGGGTCCCCGCTCTGCCTTTGAAGGCAAGCATGTGCTTACCTGTGGGCCTCATCCCCTGCCTGGAAAGCTGTTCCTTCAGGGATCATCACTTCCTAACTTCCTTCAGGTTTTTGCCCAAAATTTGCCTCAGTGAAGCCTCTCCTGGCCACCTCTCCACCACCCCGGCTTCGATGTTTAGATCCAGGAATTTAATTCATCTGGGAAACCAAATAAGGCTTTATAAAGTACAACTTTCCAAAGTCTCGCCTTAATCATTATTTTTTCTTTTTAACAGAGAAATGGCGATATCAAAACAAAAAGAGAACTCATTGTACATAAGGCAAAGCATTCAGGTGAGACTGTTTGGCGGAGTGGTGCCGTGGGCTTTGGTGTCAGACACAAGGGTCCACAGATGAGCCTCTGGCTGATCGTGTGATCTTCAACATGTTATAAAACACCCAAAATGAGAAGAACAATTATTCCTAAAAGGAAGATACTTTTGAGGGTTAAATAATGTTATAGAGGCATAGTAATCCGCATTGTACCTGGTAAGTAGCAGTCCATATACTTCCTTTCCCCCCCATGCCTTGAGCTTAAACATGTAATTACTGGGCACAGTTCTCAGTCTAGAAATGAGTTGCGTCCTGAGATTGAGGGTATGATGTTTCCAGTGCTGACTGTGTTTCCTCACAGAAACTTGATACACACAGATGGTCAGTAAGTTCCTGGGTCCCCAAAAGGTTTTCTACTCTGCTGTAAATCTTCCGTGCGACAGTGTGCTAATAGTACCACAGCACCTCCCATAGGCGAGGCTGCATTGGAGGAAATTGAATCAAAATGTCAACATGCAATTCCATGAATACATTTTTCCTGACAGTAAAAATGACACAATATACCAAGTATCTACTGGGCCATTCCTAGGTGCCAGGTACTGTTTACATACATTAGATGAAAGAAGGCCTCACACTGACTCTCTGAGTCAGGGACAATAGCCATCTTTATTCCACAGATAGTGAAACAGAGGTGGGGACAGGAGCCAGGGTTCAAACCCAGTAGATTTGGCTCTAGAACTAGTGCCATTAACCCCTGACGACATGAGCAGGGTCGACTTGTTCCTTGCTCCCCACCTGTTGTCTGCATGGGCAGCAGGAGTGAGAACTGCCTCAGTTCCCACCTTCAGGGACTTCCACAGCCCGGGGAAGAGGCTTCCACTTGTAAGGAGACGGGGAGAGCGGGACGGGGCTGAGGTGCTCTGGTGTGAGATGTAGCGTCCTCTCTAGATAAGCACTGGAGGATCTCAAGGCCCCAGAAATATCATACCAAGTATTAAAGAAATTTGGGGGGGGGAGAAGACTCATGGGATTGATCTGCTCTCCCTGTCAAAACCCATCCATGGACTCTCCTTGAGACCAGATGAGCGGGGGTGAGGGACATTTTTTAATAGAAGAAGGAAGGGCTCTTTGGGAAGGTGGGGTTGGGGGTTTTCTTTGGGAGATACTTCAGGGCAGCTAGGGCTAGGAAAGGGGGGGTTGCATGACTACAATTTCCTCGCCTCTCCTCCCCTCAGTCTTGATCCTGAAACCTGGGTGTGTCCTGAGGAAGTGTGTGAATTCAAGAGGGGGTTCTGGGATGGGCAGAGACCGCAGCAGCTGGCCTGCAGAAGGGAGAGGATGCATGAATACTCAGTCGACATGGGAACCATCTGCTCAGGTTTACGCCAGCTGTTTGTTTTTAGTTAACATCTGGATGAGCAAAACTCAGAAACAGCAGCTGGGTCCAGTCCATGCCCTCCAGGCTGAATCTGAGGACCGTTGGTTCCCTAGTCAGTTCCTTAGCCGAGTTCCCACCCCACCCCCAGAAAGGAGGCTTCTGACTGTGTCTCTCTCTTTAGGCCCAGTCCAGGAATATGAGCTGCTACTTCAGGTGGCCTATAGAGATTCCAAGGAGAAAAGAGACTTGAAGAACTTTCTAAAGTTCTTGAAGGCTCCATCATCCTGGCTACACGCACCTGTGACAATTATCAGAGCCAAGGCCACCACACGTGAGTCAGCTGTCTGGGGATGGGAAGTGTGAATGGGGAAGGTGGGCACACCTGTCAGTGGGTTGGGTGATGACGTGGAAGCAACTATCCCTACAATCTCAGTAGCTTAAATCACTCCCAAGTTGTGTTTCAACAGAGGTGAGTTCTGAGCCAAAAGAAAAAAGGAGGGGGGGACCCTGGAGAACTTCATGTCGCCATTGTAAATTCTTTAACTCAGAAGCGACATATACTAATTCTGCTCAAAACTGATTGGCAAAAAGTGATCCCATGGCCCCAACCAACTTAGTGGGTCTGGGACATGCAATCTTATGTTCCTGAAAGAGAGGAAGACATATTTAGCAAACAGCACTCAGAACCCCAAAGACGAGGTTAAAAGAAATTATTTGTGCGAAGCACTGATTCTCAGCGTGTGGTGCCCAGAAGAGCAGCAGCATCAGAGAACTTCAAATTCTTAGCCCAGCTTAGACTTATTGAGTCAGAAACTGATTGAGTCCACCTGATTCTGATGCACAATAAAAGTTAAAAATCTCTCACAGCACACAGCACCATGCATTTTTTCACAGAGGTGTCGAGGACTTTGCCTTTTTATTTTGGTCTAGTACAAAAGAATGACCTTGACCTTGATGGGAGTTTCAGTAGTGACGGAAGGGAATGAGCACACAGGATTGCTGGGGGATAGAACTTTTCATCACTCCCCTCAAAATGTCTCTTTGCCTTTGCCATCTTGCTTCTAGAACCTACCTGGGAGTGGTGGCAGGTGGGTGGATGGGAGCCTCCCATAAGATAGTGCTCAAATACCTTCTAGAATCCCTTAAATAGCTCCCATGTTACCAATACCCACGTCTGCTTCTCTTCTCCATTGCAGCAGGTGGCTACGGACAGACATCCTTCTGGAAGCCAACCCCAGCCAATTGAGTTTTGTGTTTGTTAGGTCTCTGATACCAACCTCAGAATCTATTGAGTTGGCCATTTCTTTATCTTAAATATATTTCCATCCTGTTCATCCTTCTGACTTTTGGTGAGAAGTATTTGGTTCAGATTCCATGTCAGAGCCAAGGATCAGAACTTAGCAATAATCAGTGAATAAGCCAGGTGCCATGAACCCAGGTCCTGTTTTCTCTGTGCAGACTGCAGCAGCCTGAATGGAGTCCTGCGGTGTGCCTGTGAAGACGGTTACACTTGGTTCCCCCCCTCCTGCCTTGATCCCCAGAACTGCTGCTTCCACATGGCTGGATCACTCCCAAGTTGTGAATGTCAACTCAACAACCTCAGCCAGAGTGTCAATTTCTGTGAAAGAACAAGTAAGCACATAGGAATGCTCTGGGATGGGGATACCCCCCACCCCAGCAAGCCACGGACAGGGGACTCCAGCTCCTTGCTTTGCTGAGGAGAGCAAAGGTTTACAGGGTGATCGAAGGACTGTGAGGATATACCGTGCTGGGCTTGGATGGACACAGGGAGTTTTATATCACAGAAGATCCAAAAAAACAAGTTGCTGTGTTGTCTGGTGTATCAACCTTTAGGCGTATCCAGTGCAGGTCTGAGATTGCAGGATTCTATTGTGATTTGGGGAGATTCACTCAAGTAGGAGCACTGTTTGAGCAAGCAACATTTTTCTTCCTACTCTCTTCACCTCTTGAGCCAACAGCAATTCTGAGAGCAGGGAAATGCAGAGATGTGGGGAGGAACACATAGTAATTATACTGAAAGAAGTGCTCTAAAGCGCCCATGGGCCAGTGTTCATTAAATGCCTTGTTAAAACAAAAACCTAGTCCAGCTTAGGGAGCCCGCGGAAGCTGAGGGGGCTACTGTGAACTTGGCCTTATGTTCAGTGAATGATGAGGTAAGTCAAATAACACAGACTCCAGGGAAGAAGAAACTTCAAAAAGCTTCCCAGAGATGACTATGGTTATCCCGAAGCTCCAGATTTGGGGATTTGGGTGGAGCTGACCAAAGGGTGAGGGAGGGTCTGAAATAGTCCAGCTTAATGGTCATCCCTGCTCCTCTTCCCAGGACCACAGCAACTCAGGTTGTGGCGACACATGCTCATTAAACACCATCTTTACATCCAGTGCAGGGACAAACTCTGGGGTACAAAGAATCTGTGTTTCTCTTGCTAGCTACAAAAGAGCAGGCCGGTTCGGAGGGTGGAAGGTGGAAGGTGAAGCTATAGTATGAGAAAGAAAACAATGTAATTTCTTCAACGATGTGGATGAAAGCTTTGAAAGACGGTGTAATCTGATCCATCTCCAAAAGATACAAAGATTGTACCAAGGGCACCGGAGTGAGACCGTGTCTCCAAACAAAACAGAAGATACAAAGAAGGGGCAGACAGACATCACACTCTTAAGAGGCTTCCTGTGGCCTGTGGGGCATGGGGAGATGCTGAAGTACAAGAGGCTGAGAGGAGGGCCTGGATGAAGGGCTGTCGGAATTCAGAATAGGAAAAGAATTCATCTAGACAAGACTAGGGAAGGGCTTACAGAAGAGGTGACATTGATCGGGTCCCACATGAAAGAGAAACAGGATTTGCCCCCATGGAGATCTGTCCCAGTGCAAAGACGCACCAGCAATGGGTAAACAAGTGGCATGCTGGAGTTAGCAAGTAGTGTTGTCGTTGTTTTAATTTTAATAAGGACAGCGGTGAAGCTCATTGCCTAGATGGAGATACCATTTCAGTTTTCAGTGACCGCGTTAGCCACATATGGTGGCTACCTACTTGTGAGGTTTTCTTGATTACCAGCACTTTCCCATAAATGTCCCAAATCCACAGTGAAAAATTCAAGTTGTATGCGTCCTTCCTAGATTATTTCAGGTGAACCATTTCTTATAAAAAATGCCATTGCTGACTAGATTGACTCTGAGTTGTACTTCTATAATGTCATGCTCCTAATCAAATCAAGTCAGGAGTTTATTGTCTCTATAAACTTCTTTTTATTTCCCATAGAAGTCTGGGGCACTTTCAAAATTAATGAAAGATTTATAAATGACCTTTTAAATTTGTCTTCTGCTGTGTACTACAAATATACCACTGGAATTGAAACCCAAGTAAGTACTTTCTACTTAGTAATCAGTCATTGCTTGCTAAACTTAAGTTCAGATGTTTTTAATCTGACATGTATATTTAATATGTATTCTTCCTAATCTTCAATGAGATATTACAAAGCAGTTATTTGCTCTGCTGAAATAACTCAAGTCTTATTTCTAGAAAACTTCAGCAATTGACTTCTCTTGTGTTCAGTTTTGCTCACTTATTAAATACACTGAGGCTTCTTGATTATTCTCTGTTTTCATTTTTCAAAAAAATGTTCATGATCTAAGTTTAATTGTCAGTATTTTGACAAAAAACCCACAAAGAAGAGGGTTTTTTTTCCCCTTTAATTAGAATACTAAGCATGACTCTGGACTTCATACTGAAGTCACATAAAATCTAGACCAGTGTGCCTCTGCCTAGGATGATGGCTCAGGCTTACTTAAGACTGAAGACTTAAGTAAATGGCTTCTAGATGAATTCCATTTAAGCACCTGTGAAAATCACTGGCATGTTTTTAATAAGGAAAAATAGATTTGGGGTGACTTTATTACTCATTATCTGGCACCAAATCCATCCCCTAATCTAAGCAGTTGTTTATTTTCTCCTTATTAGTGACCTCCAAAATAACCTTTATATGTCTGTGTGTGCCTGTGCAGGCATGGATCCATTCTCAACTGGTACTTTAACTCTGTTATTTGTATGACATGCAATTACTTCCCACTGGGTCCTTTTCTGTTTTCTTTTTCTACTGTTTATTTGTTGTCCCCATCCATTTTTTGCTCAAATGTCTTTCTGAAGTGTGGGAATAGAGATTAACATATTGTCTTTTGTTCTCTTTCTAAGCTTAAAAAAGCATACAAAAGAATTCAAGGTTTCGAGTCGGTTCGGGTCACCCAATTTCGGTAAGTAACACAATGGCTTTAGAAGGGCATCCCCAGAATTGTGCACTAGTCCTGGTCCCAGGTGACCTTGGAAGAAATCAAGGCAGAACTGGTCTTTATAGTAGGATTCTTCCTAACTGAATAAGAGTCTTCAATGCTTCAAAAAGTCATAAGAGAAAAGCCTAGATTCACATTTAAGTGAATTTAGGACCTTAAATATTCAGGAACGTTCTCAAAGCTGTGGATCAGACAGTAGAATTGCAAAACCATAGTAGCAGGACAGAAAGTTGGAAGGAAGCGGGAGGACATGACACACACAGATGAGAAAGGGTGAGGGGTGTGGATGAGGGTCGGGTGCTGCAGAGGAGTGAATTTTCTCTTTCCATAATTACAGGGGACATGATGTTTCATAACTTGGAGCTAGAAGGGGAGACTTGTATAGAATATTATACAGGACAACCTCCACAGCTGACCGCCTTCCTACAATGCCCACCTCCTTCAGTTGACCTAATTTTTACAGATCAGTCATGCACCACATGTACTAAGCCTGGTTCCTTATGTTGACCACCTCTGCATGTTGACCAGTTTGTTACAGTCCCCTAGGTGGTCAACTTACAGAGGTTCTACTGTACTATTGTGTGGATATCATGTATATACCACAGTCCAAAACCTAGTAGTCATTGTCTACAGCAAATAAGGAAATATTTAGTAAATTATCCTCGTGTTTGTGCTTTGATTCCAAAAGTCATTTGCTTAGCCATGTGCACACTAGTTACCAATTATTAATAGTCTGCGAAATAGAGGAAGTGGCTCAGAGGTCAGAGAACTTGACTTCTTACATATTTTTTCACAGTTAACTTCGAAACAGCCACAGGAAATTTTTAACAGCATTTTCTATAAATATGTTGTCCCGGGCATCGTCCTTTAATTCCTCCTACATGTTTCTGTAAAGTGCACATGAATCATTTTTTTTTAATTCAGTGCTAGCTAAAACACTGCTTCTTTTTTTATATTGAGGATTATATACTTAACTATATATCCATTTTTAACTCTGCTATCAGTGAACTCACAGTCAAAATTAAAATTCAATCATAATAATTTTGGTATTCAATAGTCCTATTTTTCTTTTTTTTTTCCAATTAAATCATAGCTGTGTACATTAATACAGTCATAGGGTACAGTGTGCTGTTTTTATATATAATTTGAAATATTTTCATCAAACTGGTCAACACAGCCTTCATGTAGTCCTATTTTCCTTTTCCTTGTTACTGATTTTCTATTTATACTTATATTCCATCATGTATATTTTCTAAGCTGTCTCCAATAATTTTTTAGACAAAATCACAGGGAAAAGTAGGCATAAGCTTATAAAATACAGTTTTTAAAGTTTTACTTTTTACAAATCTGAGTTTTTTCTTTTATGAAATTTCATGTTAATTACCGAGGGACATATGATTAGGTTACATACTTTGCTTTCTTTCTTTCTTTCTTTCTTTCTTTCTTTTTTTTTTTTTTTTTTGAGACAGAGTCTCACTATGTCACCCCCAGTAGAGTGCTGTGGCATTACAGCTCACAGCAACCTCAAACTCTTGGGCATAAGCGATTTTCTTGCCTCAGCCTCCCAAGTAGCTGGGACTACAGGTGCCCACCACAACAGCAGTCTATTTTTTGGGTTGCAGTTGTCATTTTTGTTTAGCTGACTCCAGACAGGTTCGAAGCCATCAGCCTCAGTGTATGTGGCTGGCACCATAACCACTATGCTATGGGTGCTGAGCCCATATGTTGCTTTTTGTAGGGTTAAAGTCTGAGTTGTAAGTGTGTCTTTTCCCTGGGAAGTGTGCAGTATATGTATGCAACTTACATATATAATTTAAAACAAATCTTAATCTCTCACTGTCTCAATTTACTTATCTACCAAACAGAACAGATGATACCTGTGAATCTGATTTAATTTCATTAAATCAAATAAAATATTAAGCAGGAAAATATTTTGCAAACAATGGAAAAGTCACATCAATGCAAAGACATTTATTTATACATTTTGAGCATAATTTCAAAGTTGTGATTAAGAATTTGAGCATTGAAGCTTCCTAGGTTCTAATCCATTGACTAATAGGGAATAATTACCTCATCCAACTTCTCTTTGGGTCTCGGTTCCCTTCTCTGTAAAATGGGTTGTTTTTTACAGAGAAAACAAATAGCACTTGTTTTCTGGGTTATTGCATGATTAGGCTAATTCATACATGTTATATTATTTGCTTTTGTGGCTTTAAACACATTTGTATCTGGCTTGTGTCTAAATGTATGACCAAGCTTGGCCACTGCCTTGAACTCCATACCCAGATATCCAACTGCCTACTTGACATCTCCACCTAGTTTTCCAGTTGGCATGTCACGTGTAACACGTCCAAACCAGGGTCCTTCCAACTCTCTCCCTCCTGATCTAGAACCTGTTTTTCCCACTTATTTCGGTTACAGTGATGCTATTCTTCCAGTTGTGTCGACTGAAACCTCACAGCCACTTTTTGTTCTAATGTCTTTTACTGAGGTATGATTTGTATATCGTGGTGTGTTCAAGCCTTAGGTGTGCAGTCCCACCAGCTTTGACAGATGCTTAGAAACTCGTCTTCCCAGCAAGACAGCACATGCCCATCCCCTCTCAAGTTCTACTCTCCATAGCCTGCCCTGACCAGACCCATCACCTGGTCTGATTTCCATCGCTGTGGTTGGTTAGTTCAGCTGTCATCCAGGACACAGCTTTCTGTGACTGTGCCTGGCTTCTTTCATTCAGCGTAGCGCCTTTGAGCCACGACCTTGTTTTTCTGAGCCTCAGCGGGCTCCTTCCTTCTCACTGCCCAGGACTACTCCATTGTGTGGATATATTACAACTGCCTTTCCATCCCCTGGAGTCATTCTTGACTGAGCTCCCACTCTCATACCCCAAATCTGCTCCATCAGCAAATCTTAGGGCTCTATCTTCAAATACAGCCTCAATGGCACCACTTCTCTCCACATGTACAGCTACCCAGCTACTTCAAACCACCAGCAGCTCCCTCCTGATTAATCTTTCTGCTTTTTTTGCTTGTCTCCATCCAGTCGGGTTTTTGGTTTTTGTTTTTGTTTGTATTTTTGGCATAGCAACCAGTGTGATGATCTTAAGTAAATCTGATCCCGCTACTACCTTTTACTAAGGAATAAGAATTTTTAATAAAGAGTAGAGTTCTATCTCTAGGGTCCTGTGTGATCTGGCTCCTGGCTACCTCTCCGATACCATCTCTACCCATTTCTCCCTCACGGACTGGATTTAAGTCATGCCAGTCTTTAAATTTGTGAAACTCACAGGCATTTTCCTTCCTCAAGACTGGTAAGCGCGCTGGCGGGCCACACCCTGGTTCTTTGCACACCGGCCTTCTCCTTTCATCTTTCAGGCTTCGGCTTCAAAGTGGTGTTCACTGGTTTCCCATTGGCCTGGCCTTCTCCACTAGAATGTAAACTCCACGAAGGCAAGGACCTGATCTGCCTGATTTCTTCGTGTGGACCCGCAGGTGCACACACGCAGAGTAGGCCCTGAGTGATTTGAATGAGTAGGCACAGTGAATCTCCTTTCTCCTTCCACACAGTCATTTGGGAGATGGAAACATCATGGCGGGGTATGAAGTTGTTGGTTCCAGCAGCACATCGGAGTTGCTGTCGGCTCTTCAACAGGTGGCCACGGAGGCTAAAGCGGCCCTTCACCGGCTGTTTGCACTAGAAGACAGCTCCTTCAGAGTGTTTGGGAAAGGTAATACTGGAGTCCCACCCTCTGCTAAGGTTAAGGAAGTCCTTTAATTAATAATTTGTGTGTGGCCTCAGAAGAAGATTGGAGCTGTTTGGATAAAGAATTGTGCTCCGACTGACTTTTGGTGGACATAAGCAGCTGTTACCCTCCAACCCCCCAGCCCCACCACAGTGAAACTCCCCTTCAGTTCAGTACTTCAGATTCTTGCTGTCCAGCCATCTGATCTCCCATCTCTTAGTGTAAACAGTGTGGAAGACTGACTTCGCAGCAGCTGTGATGGAAATGACTCAGCAATAGTTTATGGGTACACATGATGAAAGAGCCCCAGGGCCGACAATATCCCTGAGTCACAATCCAAGGAACCACGGGGGAAAGAACTCATAGATCCCTGTCTTTAACTCACATAAATACACCCACACACGTGCCACTTTTTTAACCCCCAGATTTATTTCCTTTTATTTTTTTACATTCATAACCTTAAGCCTCTTCTACCAAAATGTTTGCCACTTTTTTTTCAACAACACTGAGTTAACAAGTGTCGGAAGAGTCTAGACACTTAGAACACAGCAGAGGGGAAAACAAATAAAAACCATGCCTGTGGGTCATCCGTTCAGTGTTCCCACTGCGCAGCTCCAATCAGGCTCAGAATGGAGGCTTAGGGGCCAGCTGCCAGAGTAACTGTGACTGGCTGCAATGTGAGCAGCTTTTTAGAGGGGCACTGGCTAGGAAATTTCACCCCTAAATAGCAACGGCTCATCTTTTAACTGTATCATTACTGCTTTGTCTCGTAGGATCTTAAACAATTTCTGGTTTTATAGCATTCCTTAAAGAGGCAGAATCTTCCCTCTTTTCTCTAGGAGTGATCACATCCTGCGTCCTTTTCTCCTAATATTAGCCTACGAAAAGTGATATTCTTGACCCAGATTAGACACTTGGAAGGATGAGCCAGTCTCAGGAAGTAATACAGGTTGTTATTGGGCTGAAGCTGGTCCCCAAAGACAAACTTCTCCTACTTCTGAGAGGTTTGGGTGTTTTTAAAAATGTATTTGTTTATTATTATTAGTTTTTGAGATAGAGTCTTACTCTGTTACCCAGGCTAGAGTACCATGGTGCTGGCCTAGCTCACAGTTCAACAGCAAACTCCCAGGCTCAAGTGAACCTCCTGCCTCAATCTGCTAAGTAGCTGGGACTATAAGCACCTGATAGAACATCTGGCTAATTTTTCTAGTAGAATTGGGGTCTTGCTTTTTGCTCAGGCTGGTCTCACACTCTGGAGTCCAAGGGATCTGCCCGCCTTGGCCTCCCGGAACACCAGGGTTACAGGCATGAGCCACTGCACCCACCCCTTCTGAGAGGTTTGGACAAAACTTTCCCAAACTTGCCTGGGTATTGTATCTAAAAATTCAACCCGTAAAGCTTTTAAACACCGCTGCATGGTTTATGTGGAGTGCCAGGGTGTTCCAGAGTCCTTTCTCCTCTCTGTTTCCGTTCTTTCCCAGCCCTGTGTAACAGCGTTGTATTTGGATTTGGGTCCAAGGATGATGAATACACCCTTCCCTGCAGCACTGGCTACACCGGACACATCACAGCCAGGTGCCAGTCCTCTGGGTGGCAGGTCACCAAGGAGTCCTGTGTGCTCCATCAGCTGGAGGAACTGGAGAAGGTGAGGGGTTTCTACTTTATAGACTTGTTCTGGCTTTGCATTTCACAGGAGGCGTCTCCCAGTGAGCCTGGCTAGGTGTAAGGTAAATACATCTGTTTGTATCAGTGGCCAGTGTGCAGAGGGTGAGGGTGAACCTGGAAAGTACGGCGTGAGTCACAGCACCTACGTGGTAGCTGGAAAGGTCAGAGTGCATGGCGTTGTCAGGGAGAGGTGCTGCGGTGGGGTGAACCAATGCTGAGGAGTCTATGATGGACACAGAACAGCAGCTAAGCCAGCCTCAAGGCCGAGAAGGCCGGGGAGTCAAAGAGCAAAGTGAAGGTGAGTTAGGAGCCAGGAGGTGCAGGACAAAGAAGGATGTTCACATGTCAGAAATCAGGGCAAGGACTGGGTCCAGTGGCAGGGGATCCTATAAAATGACAGAACTGCAATAGAACTTAAGGGTTATCCCATTTACCCACCTCCTTTTACAGGTCAGGAAACAGAAGACCAAGGGGCCAAAAGTTCCTCGGGTAGCCATGGTGTTGAACTAGAAGCCTGGTCACTTGATTTCCTGTCCAGTGCTCTGACCTCTACACGATGCCCTCTTAGGACAGTACAGGTGCTAAGACAAGGTAGATGGAAAGAAGGAAGGAAATGGTCAGGAATCAGCAGGACTCAAATCACAGAAAGGAAGGACGTCCAAGGCCAGTTCACAGACACTGTGCAGCAAGTTATAGAGCAGAAACTTCTGTCCCAACCAGAGACCCTGCTGTCAGCATAGAGAACCCCAGCAACGGTATTATCTAGGCGCTGCCTATTTCTTCCCTTCTGCACTTCGGTTTCCTCATCTGTAAACTGGGGAGGGGACTAGACCAGATGGCCTGCAGGGCCTATTCTTGGTCCTGCCTTCTTTGCCTCTGTTCTGAATGTGAGCAAGAGCTGAGGCTAGTTCATCCCAGCGTATAAAGGTAGATAGATCCCAAGTACCCTGAACTGAGAAGGGCATTGTCAGCTGAGAAGAACAAGAAGGAAATCAGGGTGAGATCTGGGCTCCTGGGTTGGCTTGTGTGGATGGGAAGGGAACACCCTCTTCTGCTGCTTTCCAAGTTAGGTTAGTGTAGTGGGAGCAGATGAGATCCTCAGGAAGGAGCAACACCCCAAATTTAGTGACAAAATGGAGCTGGCACAAGTTCAGTCATCAGATCTCTACTTATGTCCCTCTCTCTTTCCATATTACAGGGAACTGTCCGCCTAGTATAGTGGATAAAACACAAGATTAGTACCAGCAGAACTACCCCCATTTCTTAGATCAGTCTTCTTTGCAAGGTCCCTAATCTCACTGCACATCAGTTTCTGTATAATTAGAATAATAAATTATATGAAAAAATCGGGGGTGAATCCTTTCATGTTTCAGTTTCTTTAGCTATAAAATGAAAATAACAATGGTAGCTCCTTTCAAACACTGTTAAAAGGATTTAACCAATGAATCCCTGGCAAAGCATTCAGAACAGCATCTAACATACAGAAATCCCTGAATAGCAGCCATTGTTATTATTAGTGTTGCATAATTATCCTGCATGATAACTTACCATACAAATTTTAGTTCTATGTGGCCAAGGCATGTGATTTAAATTTGGTGAAATATCAGCATTTCATTGTTTTCGAGCACTTAACCATTTTTATTTCTAGAATTTCAGTGTGATTGCAAGCAGTGCAACTGAGGCAGCTGTGTCCTCCTTGGTGCGAAATCTTTTAGTCATCCTTCAAGAAAGCCCATCAACCACAGCTGGGAATCTGGCTTCGGTGGTGTCCATTCTGGGCACTGTCTCATCCCTGTCACTGGAAAGCCATTTCAGGGTGTCCAATTCAACAATGGAGGTATGATCTGCCTGCCTTTGAAAGCTTCACTTTAAATGCTCAATCTTGTAGGAGAAATGACAAAAACTTTTCTATCACTGCCTTTTATCTTTGCATGGAAAGGACAGAAGAGGCAGGTCATAGTCCTCATGTGAGCTGGCTGCTCTCTGTGGTATACGAGGAACTCACAGCATCCATACTGTATGTTTTTAAAAAGAGGGAGATGACCTTGTCCAGGCTGCCTGGGCAGCACCTGGCTTACAGAAAGGGATGAGCAAATACCCTATGACATGGGAGACAACTTTTTTTTTTTTTTGAAGCCAAAGCCTGAAGCTATCACTGTGGTAGAGTGCTGTGACATCACAGCTCACAGCAACCTCCAGGTCCTGGGCTCAAGCTATTCTCCTGCCTCTGCCTCCCAAGTAGCTGGGACTACAGGTGCCCACCACAATGCCCAGCTATTTTTTGGTTGCAGCTGTCATTGTTGTTTGGTGCACTGGGCTGGATTTGAACCTGCCAACTCAGGTGTATGTGGCTGGCACCTTAGCTATTTGAGCCACAGGCGCCAAGTTGGGAGACAATTTTTTAATATGTTTGCAGTCTATAATCATTTTTTTCTGTGGCCATAAGCTCTGATGTTAGCAGTGTATATTTTAAGAACTCTCTTCTCGTAACTGAGGAATTCACAGTTTATCTATTCAAAAATTAACTTAAAAATTACACAAATGATACTTGTTCACTATAAGAAATGCAAATAAAAAACCGACAATAGATTATCTGTAACTGGTCCCCCTAGAATAGCCCCTGCTTGGTTTTAGATAGCAGGTGTTTAATAAATATCCTTCAAACATTGTGGATGTATGCATTTTGCATAGTAAAAAATGTAATATATTATACAACTGGATTAGATGTGTATTACATAGCACACATTTACACTTAACTATAGATGGTAAACATTATGACAAAGATCACATTACATATGCATGAGTTAAATTCCTGAATTTAAGAAAAGATACTCAGATTTGTGTTTTAAAAATCTAACCACATTTTTACAAGAGACCAACTAAAACAAAATAGCACAAGAAGACTAAAAATAAAGTGGTGGGTGAAAAAACACGGAGAGTTTTCCTGGGGCCGGTAGGAAAGGCTCAATCTGGGTTACAGGACACAGAAGGCGGGGTGAGGGCAGGACTCGGCCAGAGTGACAGACACCTGCAGTAGATTGGCCAGAGACATGAGCTACCCAGGGGCTTCTGGGAGGAAAAAGTAGCAATTTTCAAGGAGTTGCTTAGAACAGGAATCTTTCAAACTAAGAGTGATCCTGAAAACCCACAAAAATTCAACACTTCTTTGTTGCTTGAGTCCAAGTTTTAAAATCTTTTGTTTTCTATTCTCCTGTGGTAAACAAATAACTTCAAGATGAGAACATTTGTGGTGTGGCTTTAGAATGTGTGATGTTAGCAAACAAACATAATACAGGGAGGAGGTTGCAAGTAGTGTCTCCATTCTGAGCCTCGGCCCGAGAGCAGTGTGGTCATTTTGGCCATCTCAGGGAGAAGGACATGCACTCGCGCTGCCCAGATTACAGGACACTTTCTCCTCCCTGGTGAAGCCCCAGTGCTTATGAACACCCTGGGGTGGTGATCGCCTTAGAACTGCTGTCATTTTGCTGCCCTAGGTTTCTTTTCCCAAAGCTTCTACTGTGCAGAGCAACTGAGCTGTATTTAATTGATGAGTTCTAACATGGTTCGCATCTGAGCCACTTTTCTGGGCATTTTTCCAATATTTAATACTAATGACTAAGCACTCTTAATCTCTCATCTGCTTGCTCAAAACACAAACCGACTTTCATCCTTGTATTTCAGGATGTCATCAATATAGCTGACCACATCCTTAATTCTGCCTCAGTGGCCAACTGGACAGTCTTACTGCAGGAAGGAAAGCCTGCCAGCTCACAGTTGCTAGAGATCTTGGAAAACATCAGCATTCTGGTGCCTCCAACGGTTCTGCCTCTAAATCTTTCTCGGAAATTCATTAACTGGGAAGGGATTCCAGTGACCAAAAACCAACTCAAAAAGGGTTACACCTATCAGATTGAAATGTCCTCCCCAAATACTTCCATTCCCATCAGAGGCCACGTGTCAATTGGGTCAGACCAATTTCAGAGATCCCTTCCCGAAACGATCATCAGCATGACCTCGTTGACCCTGGGGGACATTTTACCCACTCCCAGAAATGCCAGTGCCCAAGTCAATGGGCCTGTGATATCCACAGTTATTCAAAACTATTTCATAAATGAAATTTTCCTGACTTTTTCCAAGATGGAGTCAAACCTGAGCCAGCCTCAGTGTGTGTTTTGGGATTTCAGGCGTTTGCAGTGGAACGATGCCGGCTGCCACCTGGTAAGTGAAACGCCAGACAGCGTGACGTGCCGATGTACTCACCTGACCTCCTTCTCCATGCTGATGTCACCCTCTGTCCCCACTCCCGTTGTCCCTATTTTAAAATGGATCACCTACATGGGACTAGGCATCTCCATCGGAAGTCTCTTCTTGTGCCTGGTCATCGAGGCTCTATTTTGGAAGCAGATCAAGAAAAGCCAAACTTCCCACACACACCATATTTGTTTGGTGAACACCGCCCTGTCCCTCCTGATTGCCGATATCTGGTTTATTGTCACGGACACTGTGAGTACCACAGTGAACCCCTCTGGAGTCTGCACAGCTGCAGTGTTCTTCACTCACTTTTTCTACCTCTCTTTGTTCTTCTGGATGCTCCTGCTTGGCATCCTGCTGGCCTACCGGATCGTCCTCGTCTTCCATCACGTGGCCCTGCCTCTGATGCTGGCTATCGGGCTCTGCGTGGGCTATGGATGCCCCCTCATCATATCTGTCATCACCATCGCCGTCACACAGCCTACCAATAGCTACAAAAGGAAAGACGCGTGCTGGCTGAACTGGTCCGAGGGAAGCAAACCTCTGTTGGCGTTTGTTGTCCCTGCGCTGACTGTTGTGGCTGTGAATCTGGTCGTGGTGCTGCTCGTTCTCAGGAAGCTCTGGAGGCCAGCTGTTGGAGAAAGACTGACTCAGGATGACAAGGCCACTGCCATCCGCATGGGGAAGAGCCTCCTGGTCTTGACCCCTCTGCTGGGGCTCACCTGGGGTTTTGGTATAGGAACAATGGTGGACAGCCAGAACCTGGCTTGGCATGTAATTTTTGCTTTGCTCAATGCATTCCAGGTGAGGACAATAAGAACCTATTTATGATATGTCAGGTCATTGGAATACACATAGAGAACTCAGGTGGGTAAGACCTCTCTGGAGATTATTACCTCTCCCTGCCTCTAGCAAGACATAGAAACGGTGAATACAAAAAAAAAAAAAATCCATTTTCTCAACAGTTACTGTATGCCAGAGCAGAATATTGGACCTCAGTAATCCACTGCAGCCCTTTAAAGCTGTTAAATTTGCAGAGCTAACATTAATCCCTCTTGCTACTGTCTCAGTCCTCTTTCTCTTACGCAGACGTATGACAAAGCACATGGAGAAAGGAAATAGATTCTAAGTACTGGTTGACTCTGAAAGGTGAAAAAGAAGTTCCTAGAGTGCAATAGAGCAAGGGCTGGCAAATGGCAACCAGCAGCCTATTTGTATAAATAAAGTTTTATTGGCACACAGGCACATGCATCCATTAACATGTTTTCACTATATGGCAGAATTAAACAGTTGCTACAGAGATTGTGTGACCTGCAAAACCTAAAATTTTTCTACCTGGCTCTTTACTGAAAAAGTTTGCTGACCCTCCTACAAGGGATCAGTTTTACATGCCGCAGTCAGAGAGTATTCAGAAAGTAGGTGGACAAAGTAACCCTTAGGTTTTGATGAATGTGGAAAAGAGACTTCAATCTTGGTTCAACAAAGGCTTTGTCAGACCTCAGGCATTAAACCGCAGAAATGATGGTTTAATTTTTGAGCTCTGGAGCCAAATAGGTCTGGACTAGAATATGTCACTTTACTGTGTGACCTCTAACAAATGGCTTAACCTCTCTATCCTTCAATCCTCTCATCTTTCAAACAGAGATGATAATAATATTCATATCTCAGAGTAAATGTGAGGCTTAATGAGACAATTTCTCACTTTTGTTGGCACAGCGCCTGGCGTGTAGTAAATACTCAAAAGGTGTCTCCTACTAGCAGCTGGTTCTCCACCTTTTCAGAGAGTGTTTCATTGGAGTACAGATAGATGGCAATCAAGGAGATTGTGGCCCTGCTGGCAATGAGTTTAGGTGATTGCTATCGGGGAGCAGAAAGCTCGGCTCACAGTGATGCTGTCTAAACAGGCACCAGCTGAAGACGCTCTGGCCAGGAGGAAGATTTCAGGGTACCCAAAAGCTTTTACCAAGGGCTCCCCAAGAGCTGCCCTGGAAGGAAGGGCAGCTGATATAGGTCACATCCCTTAGTATCTGCTGCCATCACAGGTGCTTAATAGACACGAAATGCCTGGTCTAGAGACAGACTAAGACGCGCAGGCAAACGGAAGCTGTTTCTTTGGGTTGGAATGGTCTATCCCGTAGGAGCACAGAGCTCCATGTGCAAAACTTCATTCACTCAATCATATCTTTACACATTTAATAAAAAAAAATATTTCTGCATTTTGTGTTGTGCCACACACTGGAGGTCGTATCACGTTCCTACCTTCAAGGAGCACAGGCAAGAGGACAGTTTCAGTGTTCAGTGATAGAGTAGCATTCTACACAAATGCTTTCCTTTCTGAAGTGGAAAATACAATACATGTGATTGATTTCTTTTTTTTCTTTAAGGGTTTTTTCATCTTATGTTTTGGAATACTCTTGGATAGTAAGGTATGTGCATTTATTTCTGTCTTTACCCTCTCCTCCAGGTCTGAGGCATTTATTTATTCATATAGCAAGAGGTTGGACGATGGGTGCTAGGGTAATAAAATTCTATGATTTTACAAAAGACAGGCTCAGTCAGGAGACAGAGGAACTAAACAGTCACTGCTGATTAAAAAAAAGCTATCCAAAACTAATCAAATCTGTAAGCAGTATTTCAAAAGGAAATTTTTTTATCTTTAATTTTTCTAGTTCAGGTTATAGTATGGCAATAATCCAATAGCAAAATCACTTTCCTAAGGGGTGAATTGCCTCTTTCTTCTTTAATTAATTTATCTATTTACTTGGAATACGCTGAAAGATATATCTACATTAATATGTGTAGAGTTTTATATGGCAAATGGGAAATAGCCTCTCACATTGAGTAAAATTCCTGAAGATAGTGGATGAAAGATTTAAATAACTTTGTTTTATAAACCCAAGCACTGAGCAATTCTATCAAGGGAAGTGAAAGCAGTAAGCTAATCGATGTAGAGCCTTTATTTTAATGAGAAGACAGCAATATGTAATTATTAGGTCGATTGTGGCTAATGATATCAACAATTTTGCACGTGCACAAACCTTTACTTACAAAGAAGCCACTCACTATTTTTAATTGTACTAAATAATTGCCTTGTCTGTTAATCGTTCTCATGGTTAAGAAATCCTCCCCTTCGGCTCGGCGCCTATAGCTCAACCGGCTAAGGCGCCAGCCACG